TTTTTTTTTGCAGAAATAAGAAAACGCAACCTAACCACATGGCATCTTAAGGCATCCCAATAACCAAAACAATCTGAAAAAAGAAGAACAAAGCTGAAGAACTTACTGATTTCAAAACTTACTACAAACCTATAGTAATCAAAATAGTGTGGTGCTGCCATAGAAACCAAAAGACAGACATACAAACCAATGGAATAGAATAGAAAGAATTCCAGAAATAAACCCTCACATATATGGTCAAATAATTTTGACAAGGATGCCATCCTTGGGGAAAGGATAGTATTTGTTTTTCTTTTTGTTCTCCAACAAATGGTGTTGGGAAAACTTGGTATTTGCATGCAAAAGAATAAAGCTGTGCCCTTACCTAACACCATATATGAAATTTAACTCAAAATGGATCAAAGACCTAAATGTAACCACTAAAACTACAAAACTAATAGAAGACCTAGAACAAACCCTTCATGACATTATATTTGGCAGTGATTTCCTGGGTATAACACCAAAGGCACAGGCACCAAAAGAAATAACAGACAAATTAGACTTCATGAAAATTTTAAAATTTTGTGCATCAAAAGCAGTATCATAAAAAGGCAACCCACAGGAGAAAATATTTCCATCATATCTGTGATGTTAATATCCAGAATAGATACAGAACTCCTAAAACTCAAGAAAACAACTCGGTTCCAAAATTGGCAGAGCATATGCTGAAGAATGAAACTGGACCCCTATCTTTCACCATATACAAAAATTAACTCCAGGTGGATTAAAGATTTAAATGCAAGACCTCAACCTATAGAAATCATTCTTGACACCAGCTCTGGCAAAGAATTTTTGGTTAAGTCATCAAAAACAATTGCAACAAAAACAAAAATTGGTAAGAGGGACCTAATAAACTAAAGAGATTCTATACAGCAAAAGTAACTGTCAGCGGAGTAAACATACAACCTACAGAATGGGAGGAAATAGTCACAAACTATGCAGCCGGCAAAGGCCTAATGTCCAGAATCTATAAGGAACTTAAGCAAAAAACATACAAGCAGCCAACAAGCATATGAAAAAATGCTCATCATCGCTAACCATCAGAGAAATGCAAATCAAAACCACAATAAAATACTATCTCGCACCAGTCAGAATGGCTATTACTAAAAAGTCAAAAAATAACAGATGCTGGCAAGGCTGGCAAGAAAAGGCAACAATTACTATTTGTGAGAATGTAAGTTAGTTCAGCCACTGTGAAAAAATGAAGTTTTCTCAATTAACTTAAAACACAGCTACCATTCAACCCAGCAGTCCCATGACTCGGTGTATACCCAAAGAAAAATAAATCATTCTACCAAAAAGATGCATGCACTCGCATGTTCACTGCTACACTGTTCACAATAGCAAAGACATGGAATCAACCTAGGTGCCTAGCAATGGTGGACTGGATAAAGGAAATGTGGTACATGCACACCATGGGATACTACGCAGCCATAGAAAACAATGAAATCATGTCCCTCGCAACAACATGGATGCAGCTGAAGGCCATAATCCTAAGCCAATTCGTGCAGGAACAGAAAATCAAATACCACCCCTTCTCACAAGTGGGAGCTAAACA